TCATCCATCCATCCATCCATCCATCCATCCATCCATCCATCCACGAGGTGCTATCAGGTAATCTGGCCGACTCCAGCTAGAATTCTTCACTTAAGTAGAGGAAAGCAAGAGTGACCTCCGAGGATCTGAATATGCTGGGATGTCTACCTAAAGACAATTTAGTTCCAATGACTGTGAACTTTTGGCCAGGCCCAGCCAGGATCCCGGGGACACAAGAAATCCAGGAATGCTGCCACACTGGACAGCACAGAGGACACTTACGGTCGAGGCCGTTCAAGTAGCGCATGCGGATCTCACAGTGGCCCCAGACGGCACTCACTACAGGATACAGTTTTTTGCCCTTGAGTCCTCGAAAAGCCACTCCCATGTACTGTCCGTCCACAATGAAGCTCAGAGTCCCGTCATCCATGTCCAAGGCCACAAGGAAAGAGTCAGGGACAATAAATGTCTCATCCGGCTCCAAAAAGGCCGGGTACGTTTTGCTTGGCTGGTTTTTGCCATCGTGATAGAGCCGGTTGCGCCCCAAGTCCCAGCCCCAGGACTCGTGGTTATTCCCCACGAGAGTCGTGTACCCAACGGAGTGCAGGGGGGCGTCCGCCGTCGCCACCCCCACCACGGCGTGCGTGCCCCGCTGCCTCATGGCCCACGTGATCTGCCACACGTGCAGCCCACGCGTGTACCCGACTTTGCCCCTGATGGCGTCCGTGCTCTGGGCCACCGGATGCCGGTGAAAGATCAGCTTGTCGTCCTCCTTCACGAAGACGTTGAGCGATCGGTCGTTGTTGTTCCACGAGTGGAGCAGCTGGATGTCATAGGACACGGGGGGCATGTCCAGCAACAGGTCCAGGCGGGTGGGCTTGCAGTAGTCCAGGCCCTGGAGCTCCTGCTTCAAGGGCCGGTACGTGGGGTCCCTCATGTCCACAGTCTTGATGCCTCCGGTGACCTTCTGACCCATGTTCGCCTTTGGTTTCACCTTTGCACCGACTCCCAAGGCAAACTCATCAATCGTGGGGTCTCCCGTCCAGTTTTCCAATGAGGCCTAGACAGACGTCCCAAGGAAGGTTTCCAGGCAGCCTCTGTGGACTGCAGCGCGCTCAGTGTTGCCTATTGGATGGAGAGAGAAAGAGCGGGGTGAGCAGGGCGTGTGGGAAGAAGGGGAACCCGGAAACCAGGAGCACAAGGCTACCCACGCGGACACGTCCCAGCCACCTGGCCTCTGTGCTCCCAGTACACCTGATGCGGGCTCTGGCCCCATGACTACACCGCCAGGAAGGAGAGGGGCTGTTCACCAGCAGCCAGCATGGGGACACGGGCCTGGGGACCGGGCACCATGCTCGATGGTGTCGGCTACACGACACTCTCCAAATGCCTCATCACGGTTTCCCAGGGAGGAAGGCCAAGTGGGCAGGGATCCTGAAATCAGCCCTGGGGCAGTGGGCATCTTCCTTGGGCAAAGCAAAGGGAGGCTTGTGTCCCTTCCCTGCTGTCTGCAGGGAAAGTGAAGCCCCGACAGGCAGCAGAAACTTCCAGACTCCATTTCCCAGTACCTCCTCTTTTCTAGCACAGTTGTTTGCAGGGGTTCGCACTAGGGGAGGCGACCCGGGCGTAGGCGGAAAGCCCCCCTCCCGGCCTGCTGGTCCCTGAGGCTGCAGCGACCTCCCCAGCAAGTCCTGTGTCCCTCCTGGGCCGCGGCCACCAGTGACACTCTTCTCATGGCCCCCGGTCAGGTGAGAATGAAGACTCTCGCCCCCCACCCCCAGGTAGTTCTGGACCAACACTTAGAGGACCGTCACTTTTCCCCGCCCACACCCTTCAACGAGCAGCCGGTGTTTGGCCCCTTGGGTCCCAACAGCCCATCTGGGGAGGAAGCCCGACTCCAAGACTTCACCGTGTCGTGGGGTTGGAGGAGAGACCTCACTGCATCTGTCCCGTCCGCTCGGCTGGTAGTGCCAGGAGGGTTACGACCAAGGAGGAGGGTGTGACACGTGGGTGCCCGGGGGCCGGCAGGGCCAGGAGGTGGGGCGGGCGGGGGCCATCCGCAGTGGGCCTGCTGTCTCTCCTGGGCCTTCCAGCAAGCCCGGAGTTGCCTCCCTCCCCTGGGACCACGTCTTCAGGGTGACCTGGCTTCTAGGAGGCTGGCTCTCGGCAGAGCAAATGTCCCTGTGTGGGAACACTTGGACCCGACCCCCTTATCTCAGCGAGCACACCAAGCTTCTCGCCCTCCCCTTTCTGGTGTGGAATGGAAGGCTTGATCGCTCCCCGACGCATGGTCATTTCTTCAGAGACAGGCTAGGACTTCTTGTGTCGAAGGTATGCAAAGCTGGTATAAAGCAGAGGTGTCCCTCTGCAGCCAGAGGGCCACCCTGGTTCTGGAAAGTTCTGTGGATATCGTGACCTGATGTCCCGGATCCCCCAGTTTCAAGCTTTCAGGCCCATTGAGTCCTGAGAGCCATCGAAACCTCCAGGACTCGCCTGTGGTCCCGTGGAGGGTTTGGCACCTGCTTGCCAGGCTGTGTCGGGGTGGGGGTAGAGAGAGCCAGGGTTTGGGGGTGCAAACATGGTCCTGGTAATTGCAGAGACCGGGGCCCACCAGGCTGCAGCCTTCCCTGAACCCCCTCATCCATGTCTCCCCCGACTCCATTCGAGTATTTTCCTGAGCTGGTCCGGGGCAGTTCTCCAAGTCGGAAGCACCCAATTCATCTCTGCCTGGGCGCCTCCCTCTGGCTGCTGCCCAGTGGCCTCCCTGTGCAGGACGCTGGTGGGGACCCCAGTCAGCCCTCTGGAGGACGGGAGGGAGCTGACTTCCTCAGAGAGCTCATTTCACTGCTTCCTGGAGCACAACGGCCATGGCCCTTTGGTGGGATCTATCCCAGCACCTCAGCGTTCCCATGCCGGGCACAGGTGGGGGAGTGAGGAAGGGGCTGGGGGTCAGGGGAGACACTGGGCAGGCAGAACATGCGGGAGAGAAATGTGGCGAGGAGAAGTCCCTCCAACACATTAACTTCAACTACTTGGAGAGACGGACTCCTGGGTGGCTCAGTCGGTTAAGCGTCCTGACTCCTGATTTCGGCTCGGGTCGTGATCTCACGGTTCGTGAGTTCGAGCCCCATGTCGGCTCTGCACCGGCAGTGCGGAAACTGCTTGGGATTCTCCCTCTCTCCTCTCTCTGCCCCTCCCCTGCTCTCGCTCCCTCTCTCAAAATAAATAAACCATAGAAAAATAATAAACTACCTGGAGAGAAACGGGTGGAGATGGAGCATGGGGGAGGTGGGGAGAGCTGGCACAAGTCAGGGGTGGAGCTGGGGAAGGGATGGGGGGTGACAAAGGGAGAGAGGAAGGGAGCTCTCAGGCCTGTGAGCCGGGGCCTGCACACATATAACTCCTGCTTCAGCGAGACCAGGGATCAGCAAACTTCTCGGATAAAGGGCTAGATAGTCAAAGTTTTAGGCTCTGTGGCCAGGCAGCCTCTGATAAGTACTCAGCTCTGCCTTGTGGCGTGAAAGCAGCCCCAGACGGTGCATTGATACGTGAGCATGGCTGAGTTCCAATAAAACTTTATGAGAATAAGCTGGTCCCTATTCTTGGCCGAGCTCGGCCAACCTCTGGGCTAGACAAGGGGCCTCGCACCTCATCTCCGCCGAAGACGGAGGGCCGAAGTGGAAGGCGGAAGATGTACGTGGGAGGGGATCTGGCGGCCACAGCGTCAGGCCGGCCTCAGAGCGAGCCAACAGAAAAGACGGCATAAGCTTGCAGTGGCAGGGGGCGACCTGTTCAAGTCAGTCAACCACGCTCTGAGAGATTCCACGGCCTGCAGGCAAAGTCCGTTTGCGCGGCCCTTGTGCTAAGCTCCCACCCTCCTGGGCCAGCAACCCAGGGCACCGTCCAAGAGGGAGGGTCCTTTCGGGCCCCCGGACCGCGTGACCTCGAGCAGCGGGAGTCTCTGGAAGGAAGAGGGGCAGGGTAAATTGTCTGCGGCACCGCGGAGTGGCTCCCGCCCAGGGGACGTGGCCCACCCGCTCTGCTGCCTCTGGGCCAGCCCGTCGTCAGGGTCACCCCCAGATGGTCAACCACCATAGCAACCCTGGAGCCATTCTTGATTCACCCGTCACCTGCCTGCCCCCACCCCGTGTCCAGGCTATGGTCCAAGTTGACACTTCCTTCTTGTAGACCTCATGCTGTCCACGCCTAGCCACCTCCTGGCCTCCCTTTCCTTCCATTTTTAAATGTAGCCGCAGAGATCTGCCCTTCTGGGGGTCTCCAGAAACTCCACTAGCCCCTTCTTGGGAAGAGCCAGTAAGTTCTCCGCCCCCAACGTGCACTTCCCTACTCTGCTCCTATCAGCACTGCCCCTGGGGCTTCCAGTCCTGGGGGAGGGGGGGACTCACGCACCTCAGGCCACTGCCTAGGACTCGCCCTTAGCTTTTCCGAGGCTCTGTTTGCTCCTGGGACAGGGGTGTCCCAAGCTCACCTCTCCTCAACAGAGACAATGTTCCAGAGAGGACCTAGTACAACTGGCAATTTCACTTCTGCTTTTGTTTTTATTTTTATGTTCCAGGCTGTGCTCTGCACACTGAACAAAGATCCCTGTTATCCATATTCTTGGTCACTGCACTTGGTCCTATGATGGACGCTGGCCTTGAGCCAAGACCCAGGTGTCTGAAATGTTGAGCAAATCAAATTCAACGTCCCCCCCGCCCTTTTTTTTTTTTTTTTACTTTTATTTATTATTAGAGACAGAGAGAGACAGAGCATGAGCATGGGACGGGCAGAGACAGGAGACACAGAATCCGAAGCGGCTCCAGGCTCAGAGCTGTCAGCACAGAGCCCGATGCAGGGCTCGAACCCACAAACTGCGAGATCATGACCTGAGCTGAAGTCAGACGCCCAACTGACTGGGCCACCCAGGTGCCCCTAACGTCCCTTCTAAGCCAGGGGTTGGCAAACTTGTTCTGTGAGGGGCCAGATTGTAAATATTCTAGCCTTTTCAGAGGATATGTAAATGAACGGGCATGGCCACGTTCCAATAAAACTTTATTGCCAAAAAACAGTGGGCCAGATTTGGCCCGAGGCCACAGTTTGCTCACCTCCATCCTAAACCCATGCCAACTGCTGACGTTATTTCAAAAATGCCTGGACGAGGTTCTGGGGGGTTGGGGAGGGCACGGAGTAACAGAGGCACCGGCTTGGCCTGTGCAGCAATCGCTAACACTGGGCCAAGGAGTCGGCAGGGGATGCCAAACTTCAGGGAGGAACCAGAAGAAGCAGTACAGGCCCCAGCTCTGAGACCAGTCCCCTTTCCTGCCTTCTGAGAGGCAAACGCGGATGTCCAGGCCTTTTAGGGCCTAAAGTTGTCACAGGAGTGTCAGGGCCTGGAATGGCCCAGCGAGTCCCTAGTGAGTCTCCACGAATTGGGAGGACCCAGACCTTGTCCCCCTGGGGGAGAAATAAAGCTGCAGCAGGTGTGGCCGTGGCTGGAACAAGAGAGGCCGAGGACAGAGACGGCCCGCGGCCATCGC